AAAATACCAGCACCATACTACAACAGTCCCCAAAAAGTAAGACTTTTTCTGCTCCTTACATCTCCTCCCTCCCCCTGAGCAACAGTTTTGGGGGGCAAGAGATAGCCTATTGAGGGAGGGGAAAGGAGATGTACAAGGTGAGTCAATAGAGGATCAGCTGATCACAATCCTTCCTGCTCCCTTCAGCTTCTGATGTGAAGCAGACCAATACTGAGGGAGAGAAGGCTTCAGATTATAAGAAATTTGATAATTGGTTTTAGGAAATAAAGAGGATAACTTCAGGACCAAAGGTCTTTGGTAGACAAGGGGAGATGGGATCAACTCAGTGTTTCATGGGAGGGACCTGCCTCAACAGGAGCAGGGGCTGTTCGTCTCCTGTAGTCAGGAATTGGGGGTGAACTGACTGGGGAAGGACAGCTGGAGTTTTAGGCATTAATGAGCCTTTTGACAGCTGAGTCATCTCACATACATGTGATGCATTCAGAAGGGGACCAGTCCATGAAGTTGTGGTTTTCCTCTCATCATGTTGACTTGCCTGAGCAAGGTGCAAAATGGAGCGCTGGTCTACCGAACGTTAGGGCTTTTCTGGTAGGAATGCTGAGGGAAGACAAGGACATGCACAAGGGGTGATGACACTGAAGAGCCATAGAATCTACCTTGAGTTAGGAGAGAAGTGAAGACAGGAGAAGGATGAAGGAACATTAATTTCAGGGCCAACGTAGCAAAGGTTCTGATGAGTATGAAGAATTGCGGGACTGACTGTGTCTGGAGGCAGCCATCACAGAGAACCCTAAAGTAGAAGACAGAAATATTTTGACACCATTCATTACCACCTCTCCACTCTTCAAACACTTCGGAGTCTTCTGATTGTCCATTGGCTGATTCTTCTGTCCCTGGCAAGCTCTGTACGTCCTTCAGCAAACTGCTGGAGCTGGAGCTCTACCTCAGTTCTCAGCCTTGTGACACCACGAATAGGATTTTCCTCCTCAAGCATATGTTCCTATACTCTTTCATCCTCACACTGCCACTTCTGGATCTGCGTGCTTTGGATAAACCTCAGTAATTTGTCAGAAGAACAGAGGCTGGGGCTGATGTGTAGCCCGCCTTGACCCCAGTTGGGTAAAATGTTTTCTCTCTCGTATACAACTGTTACCACCGGAGACTTTTGGGAGACCAGTAGTATCCCAGTTCCTTTAGGTGGGGTCCAGGGAATAACAGGGAAAGACATACAGCTACAGATCCTCCAGAACACCCCAGCTACAATGGCAAAGGCTGGAGGCCCGGGGAATGCCAGCCAGAGAACTCTCCTTAGAAGGCAAGGATCTCAAGGGTATGAAACCAGAAGCTGTTGAATTATCTTGACTGGGTGAGCTGAAGTACATGTGATTAGCATCTATCCAAGCACAATGGGACCTCCTGACCTGTGTGTCAAGCTGTTCTGGTGAAATATACATGGAAGGTAGAACAAATTAAAAAAAAAAACCCACCCGAAATAAAACACACACATGATGTCTTTAAACCTCTATTTGTGCCTTCTGAGGACAGAATATCCTTAAGGAAATGGAGTCCACGCTTAGCCTCCCTTGGTGACGTGCCTTGGCTTCCAGTGGGAGTGGCTTCAACACCAACGCAGTTACTCGGTGACGCCAGCATTGTGCTCTGGAGCCAGATCACACTGGCTCACAAGAACTGACTGCTCAATTTTCCAGAATTTCGTGAGCTGGTTGTTAAAGGCATACATCACTTGAAATTAAATTATGCGAACTGATCATTACATCACCTTAAAAAAAGGTAATAAACACTCACAACTTGCTGATTATTTTATTGAATGTGATTATTATGCTCTCGAGGTTATGTGCATCTGTTGTATCTACCTGGGAGACACGTTATTAAATGGAGTTCCACTGTGCATCCTATTCCTACCTCTGCATGGAACCCAAATAGGCCCTGGAAAACAGCAGGTATTACAAATCACCCCCACACCCCTTCCTCCAACAGACCCAGTTGGCAAACATTTATCAGCAACCAGAGGACTCCAGGGACTCAAGGGAGATCCGTTAGAATGACCACACATCAGCGCACCTCAGGAGCCTGCTAGTTTCTCTGCCCTAGCCAGGCACCCTCCTCTGTGCAGGGAGGGGGCAATACTGCACTTACTTACTTGAAAGGCATCTTGATCAGATGGTCTCCCTCCGACAGCAGTGCTGAGGAGCTGGCTGGGGAAATATTTTCCCAACTCTGCCTGGTTTCCTTTTGAACAGGAACAAAACTGGTCCTAAGGAATGCAGCCGGTAGATAAGTAAATAGGGCAGCTGTGATGTGAGTTCCAGCTGAACTAAGACAACTTAAGAGTCTGGTTTGTATAAAAAGGAAGCTTATAGATTCAGATTTTCCTCCCTTCCTGCCCTCCTGTCTCTCTCCTACAAGAGGACACAGTCTGCTTGCATTTGCTCTCCCCCTTCCCTGGGGATACAGCTGGCACCTGGCTGTGCTTTGGCTGCAGGACAGGATAAACTTGCTATTTTCTGGACACTTGTGTCCAGTGGTGGAGCCATGGATTTCTATTTTAACAGTGGATATTGCTTAGCCTCCACGGGACTCTTTGAAGGGCCCATGGCCCAGGATCCCCTGTTCTGAGCTAGAATAACCCTCCAGCCCCAATTCCATACAAAGCTCAGTCATCTCACTCGAGGGCCGAGGACAGGAGGAGATGGGAAACTGGCAGGTTTAGGAATTCAGCTAAATGGCTGATTCTTCCCCAAAATATGCAACTTTCTTCCCTACCTCAAAACCTGATGGTAAATTAGGCACACTAAAGACGCACTATGTACATGCACTCATGTTAGTATATGCCCATAACGCTTCAGAAATGGCTCCATTTCCTAGTTCCTATTTGTTGAGATACATGTGTTAGGAGGTAGTGCAGCCACCTGCTATGAACCTGAATGTTTGCAGGTGTGTGTGTAGAAAGGCATGGTTGAGTGCCATTTGTAGATGCTTGTGTGTTTGAATGGGTACAGTCACATGTGTGTAGTTGTGTGTGTTCCTGTCTTTGCTTTTGCATAGACAGATGTGACTGTGTGTGTGCAGGAGTGAGCCCAGTGACTTTTGCAAACCTGGTTGAAATGCTTGGAGAGCCCTAACTGGTTTGGCTCAGTGGATAGAGCATTGGCTTGTGGACCGAATGGTCCCGGGTTCAATTCCGGTCAAGGGCATGTACCTTGGTTGCGGGCACATCCCCAGTGGGAGGTGTGCAGAAGGCAGCTGATCAATGTTTCTAACTCTCTATCCCTCTCCCTTCCTCTCTGTAAAAAAAAAACAATAATAAAAAAAAGAAATGCTTGGAGAGTGTCATCATCTTATAAAAATAGAATTTTTTTTTTTTATAAAACCGCACTGAAATATTTTTCTTTTAAAAGACTCTCTATGTTCTCCCTGCATGTAGTGGAAAAATACCAAATACTTGCATTTTTTCTGTCATGATAAGGATTGTTGGTTTTATCCAGGGACAGGATTTCAGTTTAAGCTAAAAAGTCGTTAGAGGAGAGGTTGTAAGGGATGGATGAGAGGCCGTGGCCTCTGAAGGGGCAGGTTTGAGTGTATTACACATCCCTTGCTTCTCTCCAGCTGCTACCATCTGCTTCTAGAACATCTTGTCCCTCCACCCACTATTCAAAGGGAAGGAGCTTGTTTGTAGCTGTCATCCATTTGCACAAGGGGAGGGGTCAGGGGCCACGTGCTTCATCCTTTTGAGGACAAGGAGACATACAAAAAGGCATGAGATTGTTGGAAGAGAATGAGGTTAAAACCAGGGAAATGTCTCTAGTTTCTGGGCCATACGATGTAAGAACTTTCTGAAGTGTTTGTGAAGTCTCTTCCAAGGGATTCTAAGAGGAGGAGACTCGCCTCTGTAAGGTGAATTAGGAGGAGGATCGTAGACTCCTAATTGAGCAGGATGACCTCTGGAAGCTTTAAAAATACACTTACCTTATGTTTATTGGGCATTTCTCATGATGGCCTGGGTCAAGGGCTTTCTGTGCACCAACTCATTCCATCTCCACGGTGACTGTGAACGGATAATTATTACCTTCCCTATGATATTTCCTATGGGGAAAATGAGATGAGGAGATAAAGACGCTTGGTCAAGGTCACAGAGCTAATGAGAGATTAAGTGATAGATCGAGGATTCACACCCAGGTGGTCTGGCTCCACAGCCTATGCTCTTAGCCATCCCAGTCCTACCAACTCAGCTCCAGGGGCTGTGTCACTTCAGAGAAGCCAGTGCCTCTTCTGGTTGCTCACACACCGAGGGTTAAGGCTACAATGGTAGATATCAAAGGTTCCCAACGACCAGGAATACTTTCAGATGTGCTTTCATCCCATGAAAACCCAAAGCTGGAAGGAATCCTCAGGAAGTCACCTGTCCTCATAGGTTTGTATTGGGAAGTTTCTGACAGGAAGGAAACTAGCATTTGTTGAGCACCTGATGTGTAACAGCTGCTGACTTCTGAGCTTGTCATAATCACCAGCATAGCCCCTGCTTCTCCACAAGGGCTTCAGGTATTGAAATGATCAGACACAGAATATAAAGTCACAATATATGAAATGTTTAAAGAAATTTGAAAATAGAATGACAAATGTGAGTAGGGAACTAGACATTACCAGAAATAATCAGGCATGTTTGAGAAAGAACCAAATAGACATTTTATAGGTGAAAGAAATAATGGCCCCATAAAGAGTTTAGCCCTAGCTGGTTTGGCTCAGTGGATAGAGTGTCAGTCTTTGGACCAAAGGGTCCCAGGTTCAATTCCGGTAGGGCACATACCTCGGTTGCAGGTTCCTCCCCAACCGGGCCCTGATCCAGGGCTCATGCAGGAGGCAACCAGTTGCTGTGTTTTTCTCACATCGATGTTTCTGTCTCTCTCTCTTCTACACTCTCTAAAAAACCAATGGAAAAATACTCTCAGGCAAGAATTAAGAACAACAACAAAAAGATTTTAAACAGAAGATTAGGTATAGCTGAAGAAAGAATTAATAAACTAGAAGAAATATGAAGAAATTACCAGAGATTAAATACAGAAAAACAAAGAGATAAAATATAAAAAGGCATTAAGCAATAATGGAGGATAGAAAGAGAAAAAGGAATAAATACCTAATCATCTGACACCCAAGCAAAGTCAACAAAAGCAAAAATAAACAAGCAAGACTACATCAAACTAAAAAGCTTCTGTGTAACAAAGGAAGCCATCAACATAATGAAAAGCAACCTACAAAATAGGAGAAAATACATGCAAATCATGTATCTAATAAGGGGTTAATATCCATAGTATATTAAAAACTCATACAACTCAATAGTAAAAGAAAAACAAGCCAAGAGAATAAAACAAAAGCCCACCAAACAATCTGATTAAAAAATGGGCAAAAGATCTGAATAGACATTTTTCCAATGTACATACAGAAGGCCAACAGGTACATGAAAAGATGCTCAACATCACTAATCATTAGGGAAATGAAAATCAAAACCACAATTAGACACCACCTTACACATGTCAAAATGACTTTTACCAAAAAGACAAAATATGACAATGTTGGTGAGGATGTGGAGAAAAAGGAATCCTGTGCACTGTTGGTGGGATTGTAAATTGGTGCAGCCACTAATGGCAAGCAGTATATAGGCTCCCTGCAAATTAAAAATAGCACTACTATGTAACCTAGCAATTCCTCTTTGGGTATTTATCCAAAGAAAGTGAAAATACTAACTAGAAAAAAAAATATATGCACCCCCATGTTCATTGCAGCATTATTTATAATAGCCAACATGAAAACAACCTAAGTTTCCATCAGTGGATGAATGGATAAAGACAATCACACACACACACACACACACACACACACACAGAAATATCACTCAGAATGAGAAAGAAATCTTGTCATTTGCAACAACATAGATGAAACTTGAGGGCATTATGCTAAGTGGAATAAATCAGATAGAAAAAGACAAATATCACATAATGTTGCTTCACTGTGAAATCTTTAAAAAATTGAGCTCAAAGATAGCAAATTGGTGGTTGCCAGAGGTGGGTGTAAGGGGTGGGAGAGGTGGGAGGGTTGTGGGTGGGTGGTTGTGAAATGGGTAAAGGCTGTCAAAAGGTACGTATTTCTATAATTCAATTGCAAATCTTGCGTGAATTTTGGGACACACTATAGTTACTAAATAAACATGTCATAGGGATATAATTAATGCACAGTATAGTGACTATAGTTAATAATATTGTATTGTATTTTTGGAAGTTGCTAAGAGTAAATCTTAAAGGTTCTCATCACAAGAAAAAAAGTTGTAACTATGTGTAGTAATGGATGCTAACTAGATTTATTGTGGTGATCATTTCACAAAATATTCAGATACTGAATCATTTATATGCCTGAAACTGATATAAAGTCATATGTCAAGTATACTTCAATAAAAATCTAATAGAATCCCAGAAGGAGAGAAGAGAGTAATGGAGGAGAAATAATATTTGAAGAGAATTTTTCAGACCCGAGGAAGGCACAAATGCATTGATAGAGGACTACAATATATTCCAAGCAGAATAAACAAAAAGAAACTCACCCCCAGACACATTTCAAGGAATCCAAAGAATAATAGATTCAAAGAGAAAAATCTTACAATCAGTAAGAGGAGAGAGAGGTCACCTGCAAAGAAATGACAGCTTAGTGTCAGCTTAGTTCGATGCACTGTAGACTTTCTAAGAGCAGCATTGGAATCCGGGGTATAAAGAAAATATGCATTTTCTTGAAGTCAAGGCCCTAAACCCTTGGAAGTCCTCCCTCAGGAGGGTCCTGAAGAAGTCAAAGCATCCCTGCTGTGCCCTGGAGGCAGAGGGGAGCATACCGTGATGGCCCAAACCCCTTCTAGAACCTTCTGTGCTTCCTCGGAGGCCACAGCTGGGTAAACACTGCACCTTTACATACCATCTTATTTGAGTGAATGGAACTTTCAGGCAAAGCATTAATCAGCTCAGTGTTCCTCTAGGCCTGGGGGCTGGCGGGGTTTGCCTGCCATTTCCCTGAGGTCAGAAAAGACTTTGTAGTTCACTTGACTCAATTTTCCTTTCGATCAACACTAAGACGGCTTTTTACTGAAAGTTTTCTCCCGTTTGAAATGCACCTAACTCTCAGCGAAGACTGCTGGCCTTCGATCACAGATCCTGCTCCTCCCTTCCTTCCCCTCCCGCAGAAGCAACCCCGAAGGTGATTGATTTGCTTAATATTTGTTGGAGCAAAGACGAAAGGAAGCGGCCTCTGCTCAGCTAACATTTGATTCCATTTATTTATATCTTTCTGGGGGCTGGCGTGTCTCGAAGGTCTTTTCTGGCCCTTCTGCACAAGCGGCGTTT